GCTCAGCATTTGGTGTCTAGATGTGGTATCAACTAGTTGATTAATATGAGAGAGTGAAAAACTATCTTTTTGGTAGGTTTTACTGAGGTCCAGGTACTCCATACACATCCTCCAAGCTCCACTAGCTTTCTTAACCATGACGATGTTTTTCAGTCATATTGGACAGTGTACCTCCAGTATAAATTCAACTTATATGAGTCTATTAGCATCCTATTTAATTTCTTGCTAATGATCTAGTGAAAAAGTTTGGTTTTTTGGATAACCGAGTTACCCACTGAGTTTATTTTAAGGTAATGTATGATTATCTTAGAAAAAACTCCAGACATATCTGTTGAACCCCATACAAAAATGTCTTAGTTCTTGCATAAAAAAATTATATATTCTCCCTTCTCCTCTAAGTGAAAGATCTAATCTGTGACATTCTTAAGGGGTGCCTGCCTAATATGGAGATGTAAGTAAGGTATTCCACGAGGGAAGACCTTTAAGGAACATCCTAATTCCATAGGTCAAAGTTCCTGATACTCAGGATAACTGATGGGTTTAGTTGAGCCTACCTGAGATAATATAATTATATCACTTGTTGATTTTCATGCACCATGTTAATCCCAAATGGGGTTAAAACTTTAGTTTGAGATGTGGAACAAAAGCAACAACTTCAAAAATTAATTGTAGGGGCCTTCCAAAGATAGTATTATAAGTTGATTCTGATGTTACTACAATGAATTGGATCAGATGAGTAGCATGCTTAAGGAACTCTCTAAGTGTGATTGGGAGGGTAATAACCCCTTCTACTTATACAGGTTAATTATAAAACCCATATAGTGGTCATGTGGTGGGTTAAATCTAACTCCTATGATGAACTCTCTAACCAGACCCATAGTAAGAAAGGTGGAGTATAACATAACATCCACCGAGCTCTCATTGTCAACTAAAATCCTTTTAACTTTATAACACAGATCACTGATCCCTACATTAATCACAAACAGATCCCGATGAGAGAACTAGAACCCTCTAAGTCATAGACATCAAAGTGATAAAGTGATTAGCATGAACCTTTTATATTTGTTGGCTCTTCGCTCACCGTAAGCAAGAATTGCTTGGACAATAATAGGACTCGGATTATGGTTTCAATTTCACCAACCATTTGATGATTGTTTTGTGGTTATTTTACAAAGGAGTGCATTCGGGCTTGTTGAAGATGCAAAATGGTTATATAGTGATCGATGTTCTAGCAAGGGTTGGACAACCCATTGTAAGAGTCTATGCTATACATTTTAAAGCCCGCAAAAATGGGGTGTTGAATGATGGATTCAATTAGGGGTAATAACTTTTGAAAGTTCCAATGATTAAGAGGTTGCCTTTTACCTCTTAAAAGGAATTCTTCTCAGATAAATCATAGTAGTTCATCATTGCATTATGTGGGATTTCAGCTAAGTAGTTAGTGATGACTGGAGGAATGTGGGTTGGGCGGCCTGTGCAAGAGGTATGGGTAGAGCTAATTGTGTCAATGATGTCTTGCTGTGGTAGGGGGAGACCAGTAAGGGAGAGGGATCTCCATACAAACATGTTCAGGTCAACCATCTCCGACCAATGGTAGATCTCAAGGGAGCTGGGTCTCCTTTTTTTAACGCTAACGTTGGTCGGCAAGTGCGTAACAGAAGTTGAAGGATTTCATTCTGAGACTCGTCCATTTTTTGGATGTGATCTTTTAGGGATGACCCTGATGTTCATTCCCTTACAGGAACTCTTCCACCGTGAAAGAAAGAAGCAGATGCCTGACATACTTAATTTGTAGACATATTCTTGGATTGATATGAGTTAGAGTGAGAGGTTCCATTGTTGTGGTTGTTACACTTATTGGCCATTGAAGGAGTGCTATAGTTGAACTTATAGAGTGGGATTACTTACCATAGATGATGCAAAATTATTGTGAGCTAGAATATTCACAACGATAAAGTGAGTAAATATTTGGTCTTAGCGATGCATGAATATCCAACACACAAATAGGTAATTTGAGAGAGAGAGAGAGAGAGAGAGAGAGAGAGAGAGAGTGTGTGTGTGTGTGTGTGTGTGCAGCAAAATACCAAATTTTTTTTAAGTGGAAAACTCGTAGAGGGAAAAAATATGGGGCCTTGCCTAGGTGAAAAGATTAAACAAAATTATAGTGGATTACAAAGATTAACCCATCCCTTGACTTAGAGATGGAATTATAATAGTTTGGAGAGTCAGACGGAAGTCTGATGATGGTTGGGCATAACTCTAATGACTTTTGGGCAGAAGTATAGTGGACAAGCGGTGATCCGATAACAATCAGAGACTGGGCAATGATCTAATGATGGTTGGGTGAAATTTTGGCAACGGTTGACTCCTGAATGGAACTCTGTCGATCGAATGATGGTTGGGCTGGAGTCCTACAGTAGTCAGCGTCCAGTTGGATGTCCAGTGATGGTCAGTGGCCGAGCGATGTTTCGAAGATGGTTGGGTGGAAGTCCAGCATTAGCCAGCGGCCGGGCGGTGATCTGACGACGATCAATGATCGATCAATGGTCTGATGTAATCAAGTGAAAGTCCAATTTCGATCGGTGGTTAAGCGGTGGTCCAACAATAGTTAGGCAAAAGTCCATCAATAGTCGATAGCTGGGTGGTGATCCGACAATGGTCATGTGGAAGTCCGAAGGTGGTCGGCATTTGAGAGGTGGTCCAGGGATGATCGATAGAGGTTCATCTACGGTGGTACTAGAGCACTTGAAGCCTCATAGTTCTCTTCAATCTCCAACCAAAGGTCCCCTTCTAGTAGAGAGTAGGGGTCTATTTATATATTTTCATAAGTGGCACACTTATAAATATGGAGGAGATCCAAGGCAGGTTTGGAGTAGTCCACCGAATAGCCCATATTGATTCTCCAATCATAGAGCATTTTTTAAATATTTAAGTATCTTAATGATGTCAGAATTAAGTGCTCTTGGGTTCGTTGGATTCATTTCATCGAGCCACTCGATTTGACTATAAACATGTTATATTTAGAGATCATTTGGTCATGCAATTAATGATTTGAACCTTTCAAATACGCTTTAGTGGACCCATTTGGGCTAAGATCAGATCGATTTCGATGTTGTTCGGTTCATCTTCTTGAGATATTCAATTTGACTATAAATTTGTTAAAATCAGAGTTTTGACGGTCACAAATTTAATTTTGAAAGTATTCAACCTAGTTATGCCTCGAGATTTGTGTCCGATCAAGATAATTTTTTGTGACGTATCAATAGTTAATTATAATTATTAAGGATAATTAGCTTCTATCTTATTAATTTTTAAATAGGTTAGACTTTTTCCTTTTTTACTGGAGATTTTAATGTTATTTCATTAACATATCTATGTTTCTACATAAAATATTATAGATTTTGGAAGCTTATTTGTAATATTTAAAATTTTATTTAATTATGTAAAAATTAGTATTAATAAAAAAAGGTGTTCTAATTAATGGATATGAGCTTAAATATAAAAAAAAAACTAATTTCATTGGATTTTTTAATATGTGAATTCATGAGTTTTATGGCCTACTTTGAATCAGAAATAAATTTATTATTTTTAATGGTTAGTTATTTTTTTATTATAACTCATATATCTATTAAAAATCGGCATGATCAACACATATCTCCAAGAAAAAAACTTTAAATTAGAAACTTTGGGAATTAAATTCAAGATCATATGAACTACGATTTCAGCAAATTTATAGTTGAGTTGTACGCTTCAATGAAATGAACTCAATGATACCAAAGGTGGTCAAATTCAAACTTAAATAGCCCAAATCAAACACTTAAAGTATAATCGGAAACTTCAAACATTAATATGATGACCAAATATTCTTTAAATTTGACATGCTTTTAATAGAATTTAGTGGATGGACTAGATAAAACCAATGAGTCTAGGATCACTCAATTCTGACATCATTGAGGTACTTAAAATGTTGAATAAATGCTTCATGATCAAAGGAATTAAATGAACCGTATAATGATGTTTTGGATTCTGATTCAAATTACTAAAATGCTCATCTCGAAAAGCCTATAAATAGAGTCTCATTATCCTCATAAGAAGAAGAGCGAGAATAAAGAGAACTAGAGAGAGTTCTCATACATTTTCTAGCCATTGTTACTGACTACTACCACCAGCTATTGTCGCGGACAACTACCACCGCAGCCATCTTTAGACTTTTGATAAGATTTAAACCTAGTATTAGGTTTCAATTATCCAATTGTGGATACCATACTTTTGTAATACTACTAAAGAGAAATTAGACATTTTATTCTCAAATAGTATTCTCTTCTTTAACAGTGAGGAAGAAAGTTTTTTGTATCATCTAATATGTAGTGGATTTTTCACTTGGGTTTGGCCCCGTGGTTTTTTTTTTCCTTTCCGAAATTTTCACATAAAATTCTTTTGATCTTAATGCTTTTAGGTGTGCATGATAAATCTTTGTACAATACTGGGACGTAAAATACACTCTGCATAATACAAATTTTCTAGCACGTACAATTACTGAAATGGATGGTTGCTTATAATCGTTGAAGAATTGCTTGCAATGGAATTAGGCAATTTGGGAGTTGGCTTTGGGATGTGAATTGTGAAGGAAGAGATGGTTTCACTTTCGCTTTAAGGTAGAGAGTGATAGCATACACTTCCATTTGAAAAAAGAGAGATTATGAGAGTTACTGTGCCTGTGAGTAATGAAGTAGAGATTTACACATTTATTGAAATCCTAAGTACAAGAGGTGCTTAAACACAGATGTAGGTCATTGGATATAGGGGTATTACAATGAGTTAATGAGTCAGGCTCAAGTTCGACCCGAATCCAATTAAACTGAACCACTTGACCAGTTTAATAAGCAAGAGTCAAAAATAAACCTGAGCCTGACCCGCTTGCAACTTGAATAACACAAATCCGACCAGTTATCCTATTTTAGTTTACTGTCCATCTAATACAGATTCAAAAGGATTTAACAAACACAAAATCAAGCAACTTTATTTACAAATTTGAAATTTTATCACATTTAATTGCAGCGAAAGGTCTCAGCTATTATCCAGGTGCATAATTAGGTCACTAACGGAAAGATTTTGTTGCAGTTGTATTCAGAACATGATTTCAAAGACGTGCAATAGAATGTGATAACAATATCACCAGCATGGTTCAAAATGTCCCACCTCTACCTGTTAACAAAATAATTTCCACGCAACAAGCCGTCTACAAAGACAGTTCTCCCTTTCTCTCTGGATAATTAGAGCTGCAGAGGATGAAGGGATCAAACCCGTGTTCTTGATGAAGACCATGAAGAGTTTGAAGCGGGTAACTTTGATCCGCCAAATGAAGGCCTGCGATCGCCACCATCATCGCTCCGCCATCTATCACTTGATTGTGGAGGTCGATCATCATGCCTACCCCACCGGTCTTGTTCAGGCGGTGGGGCCGCAGCTGCACCCTCTGGTTTTTCGCGGCGGAACCTGGGGACATACTTGGTAGTAGATGGTGCTGCGGTGGCGGTGGCCGTTAATGGCTCTGCTGGTCGTGGAGTAATTACAGAATCAGCAGACCTGGGCAAAGGTTCATTTCCCCTCGCAAGAAGGGCTTCCTTTCTCAACCTTTCCTTCTCATCCAATTCCCTCTCCCTTTGCCTCTGCTTTTCTGCAATCTCATCAAGCTTTGCCTTTCGTTCGGCTTCTTCCCTCTTTCGTCTCTCTGCCTCTATGATGAGGTAAAAAGACAGGTTTTTTAATCAATCATCCTTGTAGGTGCTAGCAAAAGAAGATTCTTTCCAAAAATCTAGAATCCTTATTTACAACTACTACTCTTGCCCAAGATAACCTTGTCACAGAAATGAAATTTAAATGCATCTAGCAGCAAAGAAACTGATACCTTCAAGTTTTTTAGCTTCTTCCTCTTCGTGAAGTTTGGTCAGTCTCTCTTCCTCAGATTTGATGTAGAAGAGCAGCTTCCTTTTGATTTCTCTATCAAGTTTCCTCATAGATATTTGCTGGTTGAACTTATCCTCCCTCTCTTTCTTCAGGCGATTGTATTCTGCATCACGTTGATCTTCTATTCTTCTCTGGAAAATAATCTGGAAAGAAACGAATAAAAAATTTATTGATATTTCTTGTAATAATCAAATATGTGGCGGATCCACCAATATGCCATCATCAGGGATTAAAGCATGCCCTTTCCACTCAAGAAATTCAGTACAAAACTTACAGATAGCCTGCATTTATCTAATTTCCATGGAAAAAGTTTAAAGCATTCACAGCCAAGTCTTTAATCAACATGATAAACTAAAGTTTATAATTTGGAACATCAACTGTTTTACAATGTTTAATAACTTGTGGAATGCACGACTTAAAGTTGCCAGTAAATAGTTTCATAAAATAAGGCTATAAAAATGGACTAAGAATAGGAAACATAAACGAATTTAAGCACTTTATGCAGCACCGGCTTCATTTCACTAGTCCAAAACTCAAAATAAGCCGAATAGACTATTCTATCCGTTTAGTTGAGTAGTAGCGCAACCCACAACTAATAATTTACACAGTATCCACAAAATTGGGAAACGATGCACTCAAGTAAGGAAGCCCCTCCCCAATAAAAATTTCACAATTTCTAATCATGCATCCTATTGTTTATTTAGCCAAATAAAATCTCATTTTATAAAAACAATTCATGTCTATAGCTTTGATTATTCATATGGATAAGGCATACAGTTCAAATGCATGCGCAATTTCATGTTGGGATGTACCTGTTGCAGTTTGAAAGACCAACGGCGCTCTTTTTATTAGTCATGAATGACAAATTCATTACTGTTTATACAACAACATAAATCCTTTATCCCATTATGTGGGATCAACTACATAAATCCTTTTTTCTCCATTGTCCCGTTAATATTCAAATTTTCATTTAAATTTAATAAAAAAAAGGTTATTTCTAATATTTTCTAGCCAAGTCTTTTTATGTTTACCTCTACCTTTCTTAATATAGGCTGAATCCAATATAAGTACTCTCCTAACCAGGTCATCAGAAGGCCAACGTTTTATGCGTCCAAACCATCTAAGGTGCCTCTCTCCTTGAGCATTCTCATCTCTGTAACACTTAATCTATGCTTCTCTTTTAATGGCCAACATTCTGCGCCATAAAGCATTGCAGGTCTCACCACCATCTTATAGAATTTTACTTTAAGTTTGAGGGGTACTTTCAATTACACAATAGGCTCGATGCATTTCTCCACTTTCAATCATCCAACTTAAATTCTACTAATAATATCCTCATATCTTTAATTATCACATCGAACAATAGATCAAAGATACCAAAAGCGTATGCTCTTATTAATGACTTGACTGTCCAAAGTCCCAATCCCCTCATTAGAACTATTATTACTAAAATTAAACTCCATGTATTCGGTTTTCAATCTACTCAAATAAAAACCTTTAAACTCTAAGGTTGACCTCCATAATCAAAATTTTCTTTCAACTCCCTCTCTAATTTTATCAACAAAAAGAATATCAATAGCAAAAAACATACACCAGGGAATATCTTATTGTAAGTGTAAAGTAAGAGCATCCATGACTAAAGCAAAAAGATATTGGCTTAAAGTTAATCCTTGATGTAATCCGACTGAAATAGGAAAATACTTGGTCAAACCACCTTGTGTTTGAACACAAGCAACAACTTCTACATATATATATATATGCACGACTTAAAGTTGCCAGTAAATAGTTTCATAAAATAAGGCTATAAAAATGGACTAAGAATAGGAAACATAAACGAATTTAAGCACTTTATGCAGCACCGGCTTCATTTCACTAGTCCAAAACTCAAAATAAGCCGAATAGACTATTCTATCCGTTTAGTTGAGTAGTAGCGCAACCCACAACTAATAATTTACACAGTATCCACAAAATTGGGAAACGCTCCACTTAAGTAAGGAAGCCCCTCCCACAATAAAAATTTCACAATTCCTAATCATGCATCCTATTGTTTATTTAGCTCAAGTAAAATCCCATTTTATAAAAACAATTCATGTCTATAGCTTTGATTATTCATATGGATAAGGCATACAGTTCACATGCATGTGCAATTTCAAGATGGGATGCACCTGTTGTAGTTTGAAAGACCAACGGCCCTCTTATTAGTCATGAATGATAAATTCATTAATGTTTATACCACAACATAAATCCTTTATCCCATTATGTGGAGTCAGCTACATAAATTCTTTTTTTCTCCATTGTGTCCTATTAATATTCAAATTTTCATTTAAATTTAATAAAAAAAAAAGTTATTTCTAAAATTTTCTAGCGAATTCTTTTTACGTCTAACTCCACCTTCTTAATATAGGCTGAATCCAATATATGAACTCTCCTAACCGTGTTATCGGAAGGCCGACGTTTTATGCGTCCAAAACATCTAATGTGACTCTCTCCTTGAGCATTCTCATCTATGTAACACTTACTCTATGCTTCACTTTTAATGGCCAACATTCTGCGCCAAAAAAGCATTATAGGTCTCACCACCATCTTATAGAATTTTACTTAAGTTTGAGGGGTACTTTTCAATTACACAATAGGCTTGATGCATTCCTCCACTTCAACCATCCAACTTCAATTCTACTAATAATATCAACATCTCTTTCACCATCACATTGAACAATAGATCCAAGATACCAAAAGCGTGTACTCTTATTAATCACTTGATAGTCCAAAGTCACAATCCCCTCACTATAACTATTACTACTAAAATTAAACTCCATGCATTCAGTTTTTGATCTACTCAAATGAAAACCTTTAAACTCTATGGTTGACCTCCATAATCAAAATTTTCTTTCAACTACCTCTCTAATCTTATCAACAAAAAGAATATCAATAGCAAAAAGCATACGCCAAGGAACATCTTATTGTAAGTGTCGAGTAAGAACATCCATGACTAAAGCAAAAATATATGGGCTTAAAGCTAATACTTGATGCAATCCAATTGGAATAGAAAAATACTTGGTCAAACCACCTTGTGTTTGAACACAAATAACAGCTCATACATACATATCTTTAATGACTTAAATATAAGCATTATTAACTTCTTTCTTTTCTAGAACTCTCTGGAGCACCACTCTTGAAACTTTATCATATGCTCTCTCTAAATCAATAAATATCATATATAGATCCTATTGATTTTCTCTATACTTCTCCATCAATAAATACCAAACAAACCGCAGCTTAAGCAAAATAAAACAAAGACAGATAAAGGCTTCACAAACAACTTCAAATATGCAACTCCCAGGCAAGTCTATGGATAAACCCCAAAAGTTGCTCTGGGTTAAATTCACCGAGTTATACAGATACAGAAGTGACAATGCGTTCCCCTGATAACTCCAGCACTGGGAAAAGGCAAAATGAGACAGTAAACTACACAGCCCAGCCATTATTACCAAAAATACAAAAAACAGAAATCAATCTACTTGCACTGAAACAAGGAAATAAAGAAAGCCTAAATAAGGGAACCTTATTTTCCAGCATCCGAACTAGCCTTTTCTTCTCTTGGAGATCACCAACATGGTGCTGCTTACTAAGCTCAATCTCCCTCTGCAGTCGTAGTGGCAAGTAAAATACAAACAAAAAAAAAAAGAAAAAACAGCATTTAAAAGAAATTAATAATGAAGCAAACCAGTTGCTCGCGTTCATGAATGATTTGTTCCTCAACCAAATGCTCCTGGAATGCATGCTCAATAAGGGGAGCCTCCTCCTCCCTCTTTGCTCGTTCAATGTAATCCATAGTTTTGGCAAACCTCTGGAGTTTCTTTTCCATTTCTTGCCGTTCCTTAAGTTGTTCGCTTAGGGCCATCTCAAGAATGGCCTCTTTTGTAACCTTCTCCTGTACGAGCACAAGCATCAGAGATTGAATTTCTTACCCCAACTTCGTAGTTCTAAATTATTCAAGCCTGGGATTAGGTTTCAATTACTATAGTCATCAAATTCAAGAGTACAAAATATGGAGTAAATATCAACTGTAGGGAACAAGATGTTGGGGTGCAATCAGACTACAGAAAATTCCATTAATTCATCATAACAATAATTAGCATCTAAATAGTTCAGTTCCAAAAGATGGCCATTGACAAAAGATAATCTAATCAAGTACAGAGCAACCATAACAGCACCTCTGAAATAGAAACATAACCACGAGACAAAAAAATGAGCACTTAGCAATAGGGCTGTAATAAAAGAACCGAGACGAACCGAGCTTAATCATCTTTGAGCTCGAGCTCATTTTCCAAGACCCTGTCGGAGCTCGGTTCAACAAGATTTGAGTTGTTTTTGTTCTCTGTTTGTGCTTGAGCTCATTTAGAAAACACCTGTTCGAGCTCAGCTCGTGTTCATGTTCAAGCTCATTCATTTTAGGCTTGTCAAGCCTATTAACGAGCTGCTTGATTTGTGGCTCGTTTAACAAAATAAAAAGACTTAATCGAGTAGTTTGCCGAAAACCCACCAACAGCAGGCAAACCGCCTTCGCTGCCTGCCAAGCTCAGCAAATGCTCCATGCATATGTTTATTTTTATAGAGCAAAACCAAATCACTCAAAACAGCGTGGGACTAAACTTCTCACACTTTTTTGTTTTTTGTTTTTTTGTTTTGCAGAGAGTCGGGAGGAAAGGTAGGCCATGGTAATCCAAAAAACGGGAATTAAATATGTCAACTTTCAGGAAGGCTATCCAGAAAACGGATTAAATAAGGTGGCCTATCCAATAAAAAAAAGGATTAATTCAGGCAGGCTATCCAAAAAACAGGAATATCAGTTTGTGAACATGCGAATGGTTGAAGTAGTTAACTATTCTAAATTAAGAATCACCCAGCTTTTTTTTTCCTTTTTTTTTTAATTTGTAACAACATTTCTTAATAATAATATTAGTATTTATTTTAAGTATTGGAAATCCATCCAGATCCGATTTCCTAAACAGCAACTGCTGAAGCACAACAAGGCAGGGAAATAAAATTTTTTAAAAATAAAAGACTTGCAAAAATTAGTCCCTAGAAAGATAAATATGTCCAATAATTAGCTTACCCCTTCGAGTGCAACTCTTTTGCCCTTCTTCTTAGGCCCTTTCTCTGCTTGCAAAAGTAGTGCTTGGGCTTCTTGAAGTTCTCGTTCCTCAATCTCACGGCGAATTCTCTGCTCTTCTCTGCGAGTATATTCAGCAGCAAGGCGCCTCTGTTCTGCCTCCTCAGTTGTCTTCTGCTGTTTTAGCCTTCTTGACTCTTCTTCCCTTTCCTTCAATGAAAACAACTAAAACCATTGATTTGGTGGTTCAAAGTTACTGTTTGACATATCTTAAAAAAAAGAGTCTAGCACTCACCCTTTCTAGCATCTGCCTTTCATGTTCTTCTTTGCGTTTCTCAATAATAGATTTCCTTGCAAGAAGCCTCCTATGCTCCTTCTCCACAATTTCTGCTAAACCATAAAGATTTTCAGACACTTTGGACTGTTTCTTCACTAGGGGATAAATCATGTCCCTTGCTTTATTAAGAGAATCAGCAAGGCTCATCAGATGATCGCAAAGCCCGTCAGACTCAATGTCCTGTAAGAGAAGTAATGTCATAAAAACTTGAAACTAAATATCTGGCATCTTTACAAAACATTTCTGACTTGAGAATAAATATATGAGTGCCCAAGAATAACTACAAACTTATGCATACAACCGAGAACACATCCAATAATTACCCTTCAATAAACATATAGTCCCAAGTGTTGTTAAAATGAAAATATTAAATATTCCTACCAATTAAACTTTACTCGTAGAGAAACTCTAAATTGAAAATAAAAACCGTTGCCTTTGAACTGCTTTCACATGTTAGAAATGGAAATTAATTATGTTTATGTTAATTTAATTGACATCAGACATAAGAAATGAACAGAAAACTCTTAATAATGGGAAAAATATTTGAGATAACTTTAAAAATTGATGTTCTTGATCACACAGTTTATAAAGATGCTAAGAAAATAATCAAAGTATAGCCCACGCAAAATCATATCCATTTGCATCTGTATCTGATGATAATCCATCACATAAATTGGGTAAAATCCCACGTGACCATTCATTATAAACATCACCATAATCATTATTATTAATCTTATTCCAACTGCTTGGGTTGTCTTTTTTAATCTTAATTTTCATTATTTTCATTCATTACTGTAAAGTATTGCTTGAGGTGTTAAACCAATTCTTTGCAAATCGATTTGGACAACTTCCATCCATGTTAGCACAGTTCTATCAATTTTCCTTCCTAATCTTTAAACATTTGACTTTATCTAGCCATATAATGGATGATTTTTCTAACCTTCATTGAATGCATTTGGATCATCAAGTCTACTTTCAGCCATCTTATCATCAATAGTTGTAAACTCCAAGTAACCCCCTAACATAATCATGTCTTATTCCTAGTCTTCTATGCATCCATCTTAACATTCTCATTTCTATCAGGTTCAACTAAACTACTAATTTTCAACCCAACACTCAGATGCATAAAATATAGTCATAAAAATTGCATTTTTTTTAAATTTATCTTAAAATCATAATATCTTATTGCATAATACAAATAAAGGTAATTCTCCATTAACCACCCAATCTTAATTCTAAAAATTAAATAATCATTTACATCCTCATTCTTATGCATAATAGATCCAAAATATTTAAGACTATCACACCAAGATATTGTTTTAACTTTAATTATATTGGATGTTAATTATTAATATCACGCTGAATTAGCAATATATATCATACACTTAATTTTAATTCTGCTAATTATAGCTTTCTATTTTCTAAGCATTTTCTCCAATGTTTTATATTCCTACTTATTTTAAGAAATGACTCAATGATTAGAAATGTTTCAATTGAAAAATGAATACATAAGACATCTCCATTTGAACATCCCATGTAAGTATCTCCATAACCATTATAAAAAGATATAGACTTAATATTGATTATAATGTAATCCTACAATAATAAAAAATTCTAGTCATCGTTCCATACATATCTTTAATTACTTAAACATACTCATGCTTTCTCCATCAATGAGCATCAAATTAGTTCTTGCTATATTGAATCATATGCCTTCTCAAGATTAATAACAACCCTACTAAGATCTTTTTTCTTCTCCTTATACTCTCCCATAATCTAACAAATTTGTTTTTATTATAGAACTTTTTGGCATGAAATCAAATTGATTATTTAGAACTAACGTAATTTTTTTAAGGTTATGTTCTTCATTAATCTAATTTTTCATTTATTTTAGCACATAACCCACTAATTAGAACTATTTTGAAACCGTTCCCATAATTTTGCAGATGAATAAATCCTTCAATTTTCCCAGCTACACTTATGAGTATGGAGACACACACAGCAACACAACATCAATAAATATTATGACACGATACACCATAGATTCAAAGTTCTATTTTATAAATTATTAATATAAATTAAATAATTTTAAATATTTTATCTAAATGCATCATAGGATTAAATATCAAATCATATACAAATGCTTTACAAAATAAAAGAAAATTTTGACAATACTGAACAAATGAAAGATGAATTATAAATTCTTAGAACTAATAATTTATAATAATCAAATTAATATTCTTGATAATATATTATTTCTATGTAATTCATATAAAGTTAATGAAAATCTTTTCATTGTAAACAAAGTCCATATCAATGAAAGTTTAATTACAAATGCAAAATTACAACACATTATATGGACTAGTAATGTAAAATGATACTAATCAAAATAAATAAAAAATAGAGGACTTTTCATTAACATATATTGCTTTGAGAACACTAAAAAAGGACATAACTAATAAACTGTTTAAGACATTAACAAGTATATATCTAACTTAGAAGCATCATTTAAAACTGCAGAATATAAGGAGCACCTCAATGTTTTTTCAAGAAATTCGCAATGAGCATGCCTCATTGGATGCCATGTGAGGTGACGCCTCACAAGATGTGTGATATGGGAGGGGACCGGCTCAACCAGTCGGTCCAGCAAGAGTCGTACGAGCAGAACCGGGCGAAAGCAACAACAAGGGTTTCAGCAATATCAGCATTCCTCACTGATTTCTGCTGAGTTTTTTCTTCCTGGTCGCTGAATTTTGCTGTTTGGAGGCTAGATTCATGTCAAAGTTGCTGATTTTTGATGTTAAAGCCTTGATCCGAGTACCGATGGCCGGAAAACAGTTGAGGCATTGGAAGAAAAGCTGAAAGGGAAAGTAGGGAAACTACGAGCCGATGTGGGATCAATGAATGAACGTATTTCAGCGATAGAAGGAGAGTTTGAGAATATGGAGGAGATGATGACGCGAATGTTGGAGTTTCATACTAAAATGGCCCCATTGGAAGAAAGGAGAATCAAGAAGATAACATGCAAAGGGAAGATGAAGAGGTGAATTTTTTTGGAGGGGATGAGGAAATACCCCACCTGGTGCCTTGCTACCGAGAAGGGGGATGGATAGGGAATATATGCAAGAAGGAGGGAATGGGAAGAAGAGAACAAGCGGGCTGAATTTGGAGGAAGGAGGGAATATAAGCAAAGAAGGGAGGAAAGGGAATCATGAACACAAGGTATTTAGAAGTGTCCATACTTCAAAGGCAAAAACAGAGCAAATTTCATGAATAGATCAACCCTCAAGCAATCAGTGAACCCTTTTTGATCTTGTAAACTTCATTTTAAGTAACACAAAAGATTGCATTTGTAAAAATTGAAATGAATCAGACCTTATTTCAAAATGGCCCTAAGCAGGTTTTAGGCAATGCAACCTTTCTACAAGCTCAAGAGGACAATAATTTAACCCAAATCACTATTTCCGCTCGGGTGGAACACAAAATTAATTGCCTAATACTTGTACTTTTACCATTGCAATAGCCAATACATGATGTACAACGTTCCTTCAAACAAACAGAATTATTGACATTTATGCTTAATACGACTGATACATGTGCGTGTGTTATGCAAAACATATTCCTGCAGATCTAATTTTGACTGAACTTTCTAAACCTAATCAAGAAGGAACATACATAGAAATTAAATCTAAGAGATACATTAAAAAATTAGATGGGAAAAATGATAAATGTTGGAGTGTAGTTAAGATATTTGGCATTCTAGTACAAATCAAATGTGCCAATTACTATGGTAATATTTAAGTTGCCGTATTAACAAATTTCCCAAAGTTGAAGAAAGATACTATTAGTCAGAAGAATGAATCTTGCACAGAAGAAATTGCCAATAATGTATGTTGGCTAGTTAGTGCATACCTCATTGATAAAAGTGATGGCACCCTTTCTATGATCAATGACCATTGAAACAAAATTATGCTTTATAGCTTCAACTGATATTTTCTCAACGACAGAGAACTCCAAAAAAGGAATCATCTTTGACAGCATCTCGATTTTCACCGTCTGGTACACCGCAGAAATCTAGAGCCAAAAAAAGATAATTCATACACACCAGAAACTCAGAGCCAAAAAAGATAATTCATACATAAAGAATATAGTTTCCATTCATCTTATTAGCCTAACAGAGGTGATATTCACCATCGCATATCATCTTCGAGAGGTATATTTTGGTGATATCAATACAAGCATAACATCAAAATGAACAATTAATAATTGAAGTCAGCATTCACTTGAACGGACAGAGGTGCACTTGAACGGACAGGTGCATTAAATCGGCAAACTCAACATAAATCACGAATCACATTGCTTATTGGGAAATAACAAAAAAAAAATGTACCTGCTGCAAAACTCTCAAAGCAGTAAGCTTTTCTAAAGCAGGGATATATTGGGATAATTGTACTTCAGGAACAGAAGAAGCTGATGCGAGCTTGCCACTAATCTTGGATATTTTAGCAAGAAAAGGCTGAACTTTTGCAGCTAGATCAAGAGGCGAGAGTTCATGTTCAAGGAGATTGTAAAGGTCCTTCACTTCTTGTGATATGCATGTCATGACACCCTTGGAAGACTGCAAAGATGGAATTCTCCAAATAACCACAAACTAGATAATTTTTTTTTTAGCAATATAAATGCAAAATGGTAATCAGAGTATTACAATGTGACGGAAACAGTTTTATTAGATATTGTATTGCATTGCATATTTTCACTGTAAAAAACTGTTCCTAAGAGCCTTCCACACATGAGAATTATCTATTTAAAGCTATCACAAGATAACAAGAAAAACAAGTTAGGCAGGCAACAAAGAATTGGAACAAGAAAAGAAATAAAAAAACAGAAATGACAACATTATTGTTCAAATTGTCATAGAACTGCATGGAACTGTATTGATTCAACTATTGATACATAAGTATCAAAAAAATTAAATGAAATCTTAGCTCGTATAAAAAAAATTGGCAGAAAATTGGCAGAGGTATAGAGAAGAAAATAATCCTCAAAGGAAGTTGGCCACTTCTTCAAACCAAAGGAAAGCTCAATGACGAAAGAAAGCATTATAGTTTTTTTAAATATAACTAGCACCTTCATCCCATGTCCATCATAACAAAACAATGATTCTAAAATCACATTGCAAGTTGTTATCATGATTACGAAGGGGGTACAAATGATTAATGGCATTACTTAAATAGAAAAACCAATGGTCACATGATAAAATTAAAAGGTTAATTTACTCTCACCATCATGGCTCTTTCAATTTGCATGCTAATTTCATAAGAAAATTATTTAATGTTACAATGATTTGAAATAGAAACCAATATTGTTGGTTAATGCTATGGTTCATAAGATCCTTAGGCATGCCACAAAAAAAAAAAAAAAAAAAAACACCAAAAATCGACCAAGAAACAGCAAGAAGCAATCCATGATAAAACATATGCAATATATTGACATGAAGCTAGAAATTGGAAACGCAAATAGCAATCTGAGATAAAACAAAATTAGATATTGCTTTACAGAACAACATATATATATATTCTTTCTTGAAAGAGACGAACAAATTGATTTACAATGAAGAAACAAAGGCATATTAAGAGAAAAATGTAAAAAAAAAAAAATCAAATCAAATTTCCACTCTCATCCTTTTTTGTAATATGAAGAAACATACCAATTCTGAAAGGAGCGCTGCTCTTGACAACTGCATATTAGTCATAAAGAAATAACTCTTAGTGCCTATAAGTATATTGAATACTTAACAGATAAATTAAAAAGGAGACCTAAATACCGTTTCTCTAGTCCCTCTCTTGGGATCAACATTAAAACCAATGAGGCTTGACATTCTCATATTGCGCTCTTTTTCATTTTCAAGCTCCACGTGTGAAGCGCCATGGTGATGGTCATATGGGGTCACCGAAATTGCAGCTAGCAAAACAGATGAAGCTAACAATTGCAAATCCTTTTGTGTCAAGTTCTTATTATAACTTCTCTGAAGGATAAACAACTTAAGCCATGCATAAGCATGGTAAAGGTGACTCTCTGAAACCCAAAAAATTTCTGCTAACTTAGCATAATATGTAACCATCAATGAAGGCTTTGGATGCTTTTTAACCAAGCTCATTAAACCATGAATATCCTCCACTGAACGAAACGCTTCCTGTGAAATTAACCAAAAGATGATATTAAAAGTAGAAGGATGTTAGTTTGTGAAGAAAACATGAACTCAAAAGAAATTGCAAATCAAACCTGCCATAGTTCTAGATTAGTGGCTATCTTTAGCTGGTCTACTCTAGTATCTAGGTAAAGCTGCAAGCTTTCAGGGGCTGATAGATCAGGCCTATCCCTTTGATCTCGATACTTATTTAGATTTGCCAGATGATTTCGTATTATCTCACATAACCTGCGAAATTCAGTTGCCCTTTTGTATTGCTTGCAGAACTGGAATGCTCGGTGTGCTGTCATCTACAAACTCCCCAACAATAACACTTAAATAATACAAGCATTGCATACACTATCATATGTAATGTTTAAGGAAAATAGTTTATTTTATAAAAACATATTTCTCTTAGCACAAAAGAATAGCATAGCATGTTTCGAATGCTCAAGAATTAGAAAAGCTTTGATGACAATGTGATCCCATGTGAACAAAAATATATGCAAATTTCTAAACAATTTGTTTCTATTGAATATATATATATAAGTTACTGGATTAAGGCACTTACAAGACTAAATTTTGGAAGTCTAAATGTGTTACAAATTCTTTAATTGGCTTCAACCTTAATAAAATACAGTTTAAACAACATATATGCTCAAGCTATTAACATTCCAGGTAAACACCCTTTTACAACGTAAGAAAACACCAATACATTTTGAAAGGGAGTAGAACATAACAGTGAATTAGCATAGATGTGCAACAATTAAGATCTTGTTTTCCTTAACTCCTTTGAAAGTAACATGAATGAAACAATAACTTAAATCATAGACAACAAAAATGAAAAGTTGTGAGCTATGGTGTATTGATGGGTAAAGCGTAGCAGATTCAGGTATAAAATGAGAAGAAAAGGCATTAAAAAACAAGCAAAAATTCATGCGCGACTTCATTTATCAGTAAAAACTATAAAGATAGTGGCTTACAGCATATAAAGCCTCCAACTTAGAATTGTTCCTTAGAATTTCAAGCACTGTCCTGTAGGTTTCCCATAAAAATTTGAACCATGGGGTAACAAGTTCCCTGTCAGACCTATCCTTTCCCTTCTCTCCACTTACATAACTTAGCATCAGATCTTCAGGGCGCTTATCTGCTTCCAAATCTTCTACATCAAGTGCATCTTCCAGGGCTTGTGCTTGGTTTCGAGCATGTTCAGCCCTCTCGGTGGCAAGTTGCATAAAATATTTTATAACCTCCTCCAAAGAATTGACATTTACTTGTTGACACACTATGCGATACTGGATAAGACCATCTTTTGCATATCTACCCTTCCGCATATCCACACAGAGTTCAACATATTTGAACATAATTCTTTCAAGGATCTTTTGCCATGCCCTATACCGCTTTGAAGTTATTAGGTCATGAAGAGCCTGTAAGGCAGCTTGCTTTTGGCCAACATTTATCAACTCTGACACCACACAAATGACAGTTAATTCATGGCATAATGCAGATGGCCAAAATTCATCAAAACAAACAAAAAAGTAGCAATATTCATGTGAAAAGAATCAAGTTTAATAAAGTATAAATAAATGTTAAAAATTCTAATTAATCTATAAAACACACATTCAAATGAAAACACACAAAGATTGAGATGGACAAAGCGAACCAGTATCGCTGAGTAGAGAGAATGAAAAAAAGAATATGAAAATTAGTGAAAGAGGTAGCATTATTGTTATCATATAAACATCACAAGCAATAAAAAAGAGATATAGAAAATAACCAAAGAAAATAATAACTTCCCCAAATAATATCATAATATCAGGTAACCAAGAACAATGAAGAAAATGGGCACCATTCTAATTTTTTGGCCTATTTTTTATTCATTGCTGTAGAAAAAAAGCGCATTGAATGAAGATGTACGCACCTTCAGCTCGCTTCAAAGCGTTCTCGGGCTTGGCAAAGGTTGCCATAATCACAGAATTTAAATTAACGCCTGCTGTAATAACAGCAGGCGCAAATGAGAACCTGCATCAAAAGGAAAATTATGCATATTGAGCCAATGACCAAATAAGGTTGCAAATATCCCAGCATTACCAGAAGAATCTTAAAATTTTAAGGATATTTTAGATTACAAGGCCGAATTTTCATCCATCAAATAGAAATTGATAAAAAATATATACTTTTGACCAAAGAGATATCCGGCCAGACTAAAAACTTAACTCCACTATCACTTAATTACTCACCTAAGCTACAGGATAGACCTAAAAAGAAGAATGCTTTTCTTAACCACCATTAATAAGAAAAGCATCTAGATTTAACAAAAATAAAATTCTTGTCAGAAAAAAACTTACAAAAAGCATAGACCTTAAAGCCAAATCCTCAATCAAAAGCATTGTACATAATGAACAATCATCATTTCCCGGAAAACCCAACACAAGAACATTCCACTATTTCTACAACCGTTAAATAAATTCAACCAAATATATGTGTCTAGGTCCAAATCTTTAAATTATAATAAATAAAAAATTCCAAATACAATTCATAAGAATAGATGTATGCCTCTTCAAACCCTAAGAAATCGTCAAATCCAAAATCCTAAAGGAGAATAGATTAAAGGTTTGTTTGGGACAGTTGTAGCATTTTATAAAATTGATTGTGAAGTTATGGTGGGAAAAGTAACTTAGCTGCTTTGATTGTACGAAAATATCTTTTCACCATAGAAATTTGTAAAAGACTCTGAGAAAGCAGTAAGAAGCCAAACAAACTTGTGATTATTGTTAGAAAAGCAAAAGCGAGAAAGCTGTCCCAAACGAATCCTAAAAAGCTAATATTTCCTTTCATTAAATCTAGTGTAGTCAAGGAAAATTCAACGACAAGACTTTGAAGAAATTGAGGATGCATACATACAAAACCTCTAAAACTTGCGAGAAGAGGTTGAAAAAATATTACTGAAGAATGATTAGGAGAGGGAGCTAGGTTTTGTCAAATGGTTTTTATAGTGTTTATACTTCATAAAATACCATCACTGATCCAAACCAAGCTTGGATCAATTCAGTTAGGTTGGCATGGCTAGTGACTGAAAAGTCAATGAAAGCTGTTGCGGGAGAAGGTGTGATAAAAAGTCGTTCTTTTCCTTGTTTATTCTGTTTGGAAATACAGCACAATATAAGACTAGTTCAACTCACAATTCACGTACCAAGCAATAAATTCTTTCATTAAGAATTTATATACAATCAACAAATTGGAAAATCAAGAATTTCATATATATATGAAATTCAGCATAAAATATCCAATTAACTACTTGCTCAGCTTGCAATTCAAGGTATTTTAAGAGAACGTATACATAATATTTAAAATATATATAATAACTCAAGAAAACGTGAATCAAATTTTACCGACTCGCAACAGATCGAAAAACCACTCAAAAGGCTTTCAAAAATGAGTTCGGACTGAAATATATTTCAACTATCAGGTCAGTCTCACAAATCGATTGAAAACACGATATCAGCTGCAGGACTAAACAATGCAATTGAATAAAGCCGCGGTTTTGAGGGAGTGTCACAAAATATATTTCAAATATCTTGCCAGTTTCACAAAACGATTGAAAACACGATATCAGCTGCAGGACTAAACAATGCAATTGAATACAGACGCCGTCTCGAGGGAGTGTCAGAGAGTAGAACAGAGGATAGGAGCAGCACATATTATGCATTTCATACTCAGCTCAATTGTCGTACATTTCATACTCAACTCAAAATCAAGACGAACCACAACCTCGCACCACGCTATGCTAAATTCTAATCTGAAACTATGCACAATGCAATGGATACTGAATTTAAAGCAATCAGATAGCTGGAAATTATTCATAGCACTTAGTATGTTCAGGCATGAAACACTCCCACCTCCCATTGCCGGAAACCCAATCCAACCCCCCTCCTCCGACGTGGCGCAGCCCTTAGGGCACCTAATTTTTTGATAACTGCCAGTGAAAAAATGATGCCAATGGGAGAATGAGAATAGGTTTACCGTCAAGCTCTCGAGGGGCTGATCCTGACTTCTCTCAGGCTTCGCTTGTGTAAGCCATCCTTCTCTTCCGATTGCTTTGTCGCCGCAGTGCCCTTCTCGCGATCGCAGGTAGAGCGGCTGTCTAGGGTTCCCAGGATGCATTAGGGGCTGTTTGGTTACAAATGGGATTTATTAAATCCTGGGCTGTTAAATCTTCTAAAACTATTTTACAGTGTAACTCAGAATTCAAGATAATTAATTCACAATGTAAAGCTAATTATAATGCAATAGCATCAATTTGAGCAAATATTTACATTCATGAAATGAAAGAAATAGATGCACAACATAAGAAATATCAAAACTAACAAGATGAAAGATATAATTATACATATATAACTTTTTTTTATTTCATGCAAATCAAGTATGACATGCACTAAGTTTATTGGTATTGTTGACTTCTTACCTATAAGTGGAATAATATATCAATAATTAACATATGAAATATTAATTACATTTGTCATAGTAAAATAAAAGCGTACATGTGCTTCTGCAAGTTCATTAGAATTGAATATCACATTGAGTCGTCTTGAATTCTCTCCCTAATTTTTGCATATAAATTTGGATCTTCACCATTAACATGTACCATATCATGCTGCATCTCAATTTGTGTCATATTAAATTACATATTGTGCTTGGCGTCCAATGAAGTTGTGCAATAATGCACAAACGAACACAATATTTAGGCCAGAGGAAACTACCACATGTAAGTTAATACTTTGGATCTCTCTTTTCATATATCAAATGTTCTCTCTACTACATTACATAATTCTGTGTGGCGATAATTGTATAACTCCTACTCAACATAGCGCTAATGAAATATCTTCTAATAGAAATCACTTAAAAGATATTGAAATATTCTAAATGGTGTCATTAGCTTATTGATGCTAGCAAATTTAGAATTAACCAAGCAAAACTTACCAATTAACACTCTAAAGTCTTTCTTCTCAACTGCTCATTGCAAGACCCTTATGTACCTTAGACCCCTCCCAAACATAAGGGATGCAGATAAATTGTCAATCAAATGAGATCACTGTTGTAACATTTTATGAAGTAAATTATATTTTGTTGTAGTATCTATTTTACATGCATCAATCCTTCTCCTATGATTGGTTATGAATCTCTAGTTTCTATAGCATATGAGTAGCATCAAGACAACGCTGAGGAAGAAGAGGCAGATGACAAAGAAGAAGAAATGGGCTTAGGTGCCTATAAAGAGGGATCGGTATCGTTGAAGGTGCTGATGACTACTATGGAGGTTCGACAAATGGATTATTGCATATTAGGGCCATGGGTTGGGATACATATTCAATGACGGAGTTGCCTAAGGGGTGTATTATAATATCTACTGCAACAATATTTTGAACTAATATGAATATGATCTAATAAGTCTTGTGAGATTGCATTTCTCCATTTTTTGTTCTATGGACATCTTTGCATGTTTTTAATGCATTAATTATATTTTGAAGCGTGTCTTGAGAGTTCTATATGTGAAAATATGCATTTATAAATTTACCCTTGGGAGCACTATGATGTTGGGGTATGCATCGTTGCAGCACTTAACTCTCTTTCTTTCTATTTTAAAAATAGAGAAAAATGGATTTTTAGGGGAGCATTGTGGCACTACAAAGTCATGCTTTTTGTATTTATGGTTAAATTTAAGGGAGTGTTGTGGTGCTAGGTGTCTAAGCGTCGTAATGCTATGAAATAAATTTTTAGATAAATATCAAATCTACTCAAAATCTATTTATCAAATCAATTTCTCCTCTAAGGCACTCGACTAGAGAGAGAAGCAAAGAGATATATAAAAAGAAAAAGTCCATATTGGGCAACTTATGGTTCATCGCCCATCTACTAGTTCGGGATATTATTCGGATTGAGAGAGGTTAAATTTATTCTAACTCAGATTTTTATAATTTTTTGGGTTTTACTAATTTAATATTTGAAATTTCAACGTAAAAACGGGTAGATTTTGACATCTAGCAAACTTTCATCTTTAACTTTTGATATGTTATAGATTATAATATTTTATATATTTTGATATATTATTTATCAATTTTCATAGGTAATTTCATTCCCTGCAAATTTAAGCATCCTGAAAAATATTCTTATGCTAATAAAAATTGTCGGAGTATAATAGAAGTCTCAAAACATTGTTGAGAATAATGTATGGTAATTTGGTTATGATATAAAAATTTGGAAATTTTTGTGCAAGTTTAACTTATATTCTTGTCTGTTTTGTTGTCTTTAAGGCATTCTATTAAATTATATGATGAGTTTAATACTATTTAATGTATCTAAGAATGTAATTATTTTTATGTTTATATGTTTACATTATTGAATGGAAGAGTTCTAATATGTTGTGTTGGGAGCTATAAGGGCTTGAAATTCTAAATCTGATGTTTAAATGGGCGTTATATGAGCCTGAAACTTTGAATATCTATGATGTTAAGCATTGGGAATTATAAGGGCATGTTATCTGATATGCTATCACAATGAGTCACGAGGGATTGAATTATGAATCTTGATATCTATTAGGTGGTATAAGGGCCTGAGGGGAATGAATGTGATATGTTCTATACATTTGATGTGATGTCTTTAATTTTTGTTATATAATAATCATTGTGTTATGTATATTATTTTTAGTTAAGTTGTATATTCTTCATTTTTAATTGTTAGAATTGTTCAAAGACCATGTAGATTCTAGCACTATTTTGAGTAATTTGTTATTCTTCTGCTTTGTCATTATTTTAATAATGGTATTGTGTGAATATTTCATTTTATATTATAATTTTGTTGTGGTTAATAATTGTTGTTTATTTATTAAAAAAGTTAGGTAGGTTCGGTATAGACTACTAAGTTGTGAATTACTCATGCCTTCTATTTTGCATTTATTTCAAGTCAGCGCAAGGGGAAAGGTCAGGTTAAGCATATAGAGAAATTGCAGCTTCTTATTTGTCATGTTATAGATTTTTGGCAATCATAAGTTTCATGATATTTACTATGCTTTCATATGCCATTGAATGCTTGTAAAAAATTATATTGATGTATAAATATGTGAGATAAAATGAACGAAAAAGATTTGATGATGAGTGTTTTTTATGTTTATCAAAAGTAATTTAGATGTTTTGTAGTCTGTAAATAAATGAAAAAAATGAAATTCTCTCCAAATAGGTCTTGAGAAATCCATCTTGTTACAATCCAACATGATATGACCTATTTTGAATGTGGGTCATGTATGGTTGAGTTATATCAGAGAGAAAGTTTTGGTATCAAAGCAATAGTTTGGAGGAATTGATTGTAACAAAGCTATAAGATTGACTATATATAGTTGAGAGAGTTATGGGTAGTGTCAGGTGTTCATTTCAACTTTATTTTTTATGCATGTGTTATTCAGTTGCGTGCATTTTGTGATTGTATCTTATGAATCAACAAGAGAGGTAAGACTAGTAAGCAGAGTTATAGTCAAGCTTTATCGATATAGAGTACAACATGAGCTTTGAGTTTTAATTATATTTCCTAGTTGGCAGGATTGGTAGTGCAATTAATGGGTAATGCCCAAAGTTGGATGTTTGTGGTTAAATCTGATGATATTGATAAACATTTGTAAATATTTTTAAGAATCAAGTCTTGAAGGTTTAGGGGTGTTGTAGAACCCAAAGCAACAAATCACGGTCTTATGGATTTAAAAATGACTTTTGATGGTATGTAGTGCTCAATTGATTGGAAAGTTCCTCTGGCTATTTTTCTATTAGATTTAAAGTTTGAACGTTGGTGGTTAGGCTAATAGAAAGAGAACTATCAGGGAAGATTGGATGCTATGATCCCTTGAGATGAGTTTATTGATATATTTTGATAATGGCTTATGCATCCTTATGCCAAGTAGCAAATGCAAAAAGCATTTATGTGATTGATTCAGGGAAGCAGAACAATGATGTTGTATGAGGTAAAATTTATTGTACTAGTATGGTATGCTCCACGGCTTATTAGCACCTTTGAAGAGAAATGTTATAGACTTTCGAGAGGTCACAAAGATAGTTTGAGGTAGCCTCTTGTGCTATTTCATATTTATGACCATTTATGAGATAGTGGGGAGAGCCCATCTGATCAAGAATGATATAATAGCTACTCAGCAATGACAAACTACTAGTAGAAAGATATTTAGAGGAGAGACTCCTGCAAGGGAATTTAGTGGAAAGAATAGTATATTTGAACCTGGAGATTACTAGAGAGGTTCGTCTATATCTATAAATATTGGTGGTATTTTTGGAAGTCCTATGAGTTCTGTTAGTGAAGTACCTATATGTTATAGTCGACCTGAACCCGATCCTTTTAATAACGGGAAAAAAGGTTGATCCCAACCTAACCTACTAGCAACCTGATTCAATCACCTTTTAATTAAAAAAATCTTATTAATCATATATTTTAATGAAAAATAAGAAAATTATATAAATAAATAAAAAAATTAGGAAAAATGATAAACTAATCATTTTTGGGTCAAGATTAGATTGGCTGGTCAACTTGAATTTGAACCATTTAATAAGCATGTCGGAAACTCAACTTGAGCCAAACCCATTTATTAAATGGGTTAATCCAAACTCATATTTTTTTGGTTAGGTTTGGGTCGGGTCATTTATTAGCACTCCTAAGCCATATTGGGCATAAAATGGTTTATTATCCATATATTGAACATGTAGATGTTCTGAGGCGAGATATGAAAGCTCTAGGTAGTCGAGGAGATTGAGAGCAATCCCGCCTCGTGTTTTTGCTAATGAATGTTTTAGTTGAAGCCGTGGTTTCTCAATAGGGAGATAGATTTTTGTCATTATAAATAATCTGGTGCTTATATTATTCTAGCTCTAGTTTAAGCTAGAGTATATAGTTTAATTGAGCATGAGGTCACGGATGCACCCGATATGATGATAGGCTTATATTTCTAATATTTGATTGTGGAGCTAGTCATTCATTCGTATATAAAAAGTGCTTTGCTTTATTGAATTTATCTTCTATTTTATTACGATATGCTTTATCTATTATTCTGCCTATTTATGATTACAAGATAACTAGTTAAGTCTACATGTGTGAGGTAGAAATCTCTGATAGAAAATTAAAGTTTGATATG